TCCTGGTGGGAAACAAATGAAGAAAGGTGGGAGGAATAGAAGCCCAGTTCTTTCTCCTGATGAGCTAGCGGTCAGTGTGGAAGAACCTCACTTATGATGCTTTACCTCCTAATGAGACTTACCTTTGACTCTGTTCCTAAGCATGTAATTGTTTTGCCAGTGTAGTAAATAGAAAATGGTTCAACTCAATACTTCTCCTCAAATATCATCCCATGTATGAAGCCTGGCCGTCCTGTGCCATCCCATGTATGAAGCCTGACCATCCTGTGCCATCCCGTGTATGAAGCCTGGCCGTCCTGTGCCATCCCATGTATGAAGCCTGACCATCCTGTGCCATCCCGTGTATGAAGCCTGGCCGTCCTGTGTCATCCCATGTACGAAGCCTGACCATCCTGTGCCATCCCATGTATGAAGCCTGGCTGTCCTGTGTCATCCCGTGTATGAAGCCTGACCATCCTGTGCCATCCCATGTATGAAGCCTGACCATCCTGTGCCATCCCGTGTATGAAGCCTGACCATCCTGTGCCATCCCGTGTATGAAGCCTGACCATCCTGTGTCATCCCATGTATGAAGCCTGACCATCCTGTGCCATCCCATGTATGAAGCCTGGCTGTCCTGTGTCATCCCGTGTATGAAGCCTGACCATCCTGTGCCATCCCATGTATGAAGCCTGACCATCCTGTGCCATCCCGTGTATGAAGCCTGACCATCCTGTGCCATCCCGTGTATGAAGCCTGACCATCCTGTGTCATCCCATGTATGAAGCCTGACCATCCTGTGTCATCCCATGTATGAAGCCTGACCATCCTGTGTCATCCCATGTATGAAGCCTGACCATCCTGTGCCATCCCGTGTATGAAGCCTGATCATCCTGTGCCATCCCATGTACGAAGCCTGACCATCCTGTGTCATCCCATGTATGAAGCCTGGCTGTCCTGTGTCATCCCATGTATGAAGCCTGGCCGTCCTGTGTCATCCCATGTATGAAGCCTGACCATCCTGTGTCATCCCATGTATGAAGCCTGGCTGTCCTGTGCCATCCCATGTATGAAGCCTGACCATCCTGTGCCATCCCATGTATGAAGCCTGGCTGTCCTGTGTCATCCCATGTATGAAGCCTGACCATCCTGTGCCATCCCATGTACGAAGCCTGACCATCCTGTGTCATCCCATGTATGAAGCCTGGCTGTCCTGTGTCATCCCATGTATGAAGCCTGGCCGTCCTGTGTCATCCCATGTATGAAGCCTGACCATCCTGTGTCATCCCATGTATGAAGCCTGGCCATCCTGTGTCATCCCATGTATGAAGCCTGACCATCCTGTGCCATCCCATGTATGAAGCCTGGCTGTCCTGTGTCATCCCATGTATGAAGCCTGGCCGTCCTGTGCCATCTCATGTACGAAGCCTGACCATCCTGTGTCATCTCATGTATGAAGCCTGACCATCCTGTGTCATCCCGTATATGAAGCCTGACCATCCTGTGTCATCCCATGTATGAAGCCTGACCATCCTGTGTCATCCCATGTATGAAGCCTGGCCGTCCTGTGTCATCCCATGTATGTAGCCTGGCTGTCCTGTGTCATCCCATGTATGAAGCCTGACCGTCCTGTGTCATCCCATGTATGAAGCCTGGCTATCCTGTGTCATCCCATGTATGAAGCCTGACCATCCTGTGCCATCCCATGTATGAAGCCTGACCATCCTGTGTCATCCCATGTATGAAGCCTGACAATCCTGTGCCATCCCATGTATGAAGCCTGACCGTCCTGTGTCATCCCATGTATGAAGCCTGGCTGTCCTGTGTCATCCCATGTATGAAGCCTGGCTGTCCTGTGCCATCATGTATGAAGCCTGGCCATCCTCTGTGCCACTCTGGTTCTCTAGGAGCTTTCATTTTCCCATTTATTTTTCTTCCCTTTTCATGTGTGCATGTGTGTTGTGTGGACATGTGTGTGCCAGTACACATGCCTGTGTGCACACATGTGAAGACCAGAAGAGAGACAGATTTGTAGTGTTTTCTTCTGTCTGTCACCACCTTATCTTTTTGAATCAGGGTCTCTCACTGACCCTGTAATGCTCTGTTAGCTGGATGGCTGCTCAGCGAGCTCCTGGCATGGTCCTTTCTTCACTCCACTACCCAGTTTTGAGGATAGAGTCACTCACAGCCATGCCTGCCAATCATGTGAGTGCTGGGGATTTGAACTCAGGTCCTCTTGCTTTCACAGCCAGCACTCTTGCCCCTGAGCCACCTCTCAGCCCTGTTTCTTACACGTTTGGGCATGGATTTGGGGCATTGACTATTGTCTTATGTCAGGGGCCCATAGTAATGTCCTCGTCGTGGCTCAGCCTATCCCAGAGTGTGGTGAAGTTGTGTTTCCAATGATATAGAACAGAAATGATTTTATAATTTTTTATTTTACTTTTGGTTGTACGAGCATTTTGCCTGTATGTTTGTGTGTGTAGCATGTGAATGCCAGAGAAAGTCAGAAGGAAGTATCTATCATATCCCCTGGAACTTGGGATTTAGAGTTACAGGTGGTTGTGAGTCACCTTGTTCTCAAATAGCCACCAAATAGTAGTTAGCAAATAGAGAGAGCAGGTAGTACTCTGGGCCTGTTCCAGCCCCCACTCCATCTCTCAACAGGCAGAACAGGCTGGCCATGAGCTGCATGTGTACCAGGATGACTCTAGACTTCTGGTGACTCTCCTGTCTCCTCCCACAAATGCTGGTTACCAGAGGGCACAGCCATGCCCGATCTGATGTACGTCTGGAGATGGAGCCCAGAGGGCACAGCTGTGCCCTATCTGATGTACCTCTGGGGTTGGAGCCTAGTGTACACGCTGAGCAAACACTACCAACTGAACTGAAGCGCCAATCATTTTGATTTTTGCCAGGCAAGTGATACACCGCAGAGCCAAATCCACCTCACTCTTTAAAACGTTTTTAAATTTATTTTATTATATGGATATGAGTGTTTCGCCTGGGTGAATGCATGTGCACCGTGTGAATGTGTGGGGCCTGTGGCAGTCAGAAGTCACTGAATTCCCTGGAACCAGAGTTATGGATACTTAGGAGTCGCCAGGTGAGAGCCGAGAACTGAACGAGGATTCTCTGCAAGAGCAACAAATACTCTTAACCACTGAGCCATCTCTCTAGCCACTCCCTTTCCTACCTTTTTCTTTTTCTTTTGGACACAAGTTCAGGCATCCCAGCTAAACAGACAAGGATGACTCTGAACTCCTGACTCTCTCTAAAGTGCTGAGATTACAGGCCTATGCCACTGTGCCTCGCTTCAGACAACAACAGGCCACACAGAAAGCAAAGAGTGAACACAACAGTTTATAACCATGAAAGACAGAAGATAGGCTTTCACTCTCTACAGGCTGGTCTTTACTTTTGTAGTCACTTGGGAATCTTCTCAGACCTGGAAACAAGATAAGATAATTGATTATTTTATATTACAGTGATGTTTATATTACTAACTGGTCTTAAACACATCCATGGGAATAGAGGTTGATGGTATGTCACAGAGAAAATAAGTACAGAACCCATAGAGTAAACCAGGAAAGCTGGGACATCATCCATTGCTGTGAGGTCACAGGAGGTATCACACCCAGGAGGATGGGGCTTGATATAAGCTTATTACCCATAGCAGACATTACCCTACCTAAGCTAGAACATCCTGTCACTTCAGGGAACAGACTAGCCAACATTTTCCATCAAGAAGAAACTATTATTTTGATGACATCACTACAGGGAAGCAAGCATATAAACAGAGACATGTGCAAAAATACTTGGTGCAGAATAATTTGGAAAATGCCTTAATTTCTATCAGAATGGTTCAATAACATTACATCTATGCAATGTAAATCATAACCAATAAAATGACGATGTGTTTAATTTTTAAATTATACATTTAATTTTAATTAAATACATTTAGTTTTTAAATTACGGTCCAGGCGGTGGTTGTGCATGCCTTTTTTCCCCACCCATCACTCGGGAGGCAGAGGCAGAAGAGTGAGTTCCAGGGCAGCCAAGGCTACAGAGAAATCCTGTCTTGAAAAAAGAAAGAAAAAGAAAGAAAGAAAGAAAGAAAGAAAGAAAGAAAGAAAGAAAGAAATTAAAGAGAGAACACCGTGGTGCTCACATGGAGGCCAGAGGACAGTTTTTGCGAGTTAGTTCCCCTTCCAGCCCTGTGAGACTGGAGGCTGGAAGACAGGTCTTGATGGCAAACGCCTTTATCTGCTGGGCCATCTTACCATCCCCATGTTTATTAACATGGAAAATATCAAAGATGTATGCTTAGTGAAACAAAAGCAGCTTTAGAAGCGTGCCCTTAGCTTGGTGTAGTGACCATGCAGAACAAAGAAGATTTATCTCAGGAGCACCCTGCTGCAGTGTAGTTGGCAGTAGCAAACAGTCAAGGGAGACAGTAATTCTGGCCCAATAACGATGCATTTTTTTTTCATTAAAAATGTGCCCATATGCCGGGCGGTGGTGGAGCACGCCTTTAATCCCAGCACTCGGGAGGCAGAGGCAGGTGGATCTCTGTGAGTTCGAGACCAGCCTGGTCTACAAGAGCTAGTTCCAGGACAGGCTCCAAAACCACAGAGAAACCCTGTCTCGAAAAAAACCAAAAAAAAAAAAAAAAAAAGAAAAAAAAGAAAAAAGGAAAAAAAAGTGCCCATATGAGTGTGTTTTGCAACAGAAAAGTTTGTGCACATACATATGTGTGCAAGCAGAAATGATTGCTGTAAGCCGGGCATGGTGGCTTACGCCTGTTATTCCAGCACTTGGGAGGTTAGCGAGCTTTAGGGACAGCCTGGGCTACTCTGTTTCAGAACTCACAACACAAAAGTGAGTGTTCCCGTCTAACAAGTAAAAACCTGAAAAGACTGATAGGGATCTGAGAAAGAAATGAGGAGGGCACAGGGCAAGCTGCTGTTGCCCACACTGGAGAGATGGAAGATGGAAGGGCAGATAGGGAAAATCATGACTTAACAGAGCAGAAACCAGTGGGCACCAGGGCGAGGGCCCAGACAGGCTGCCACCTTCTCTTCTGTCTTCACGCTGCCACTGGGAGGGTAAAAACAGTCATTTAAAAAGAGCCAGAATAGCCGGGCGGTGGTGGCGCACGCCTTTAATCCCAGCACTCGGGAGGCAGAGGCAGGCGGATCTCTGTGAGTTCGAGGCCAGCCTGGTCTACAAGAGCTAGTTACAGGACAGGAACCAAAAGCTACGGAGAAACACTGTCTCGAAAATAAAAATAAAAAAAAAAAAAGAGCTTCTTCTCAAGGTCTTCCCCAGAAGAACTGTTTTCCTGAGCTTAGGACCCTCTGAGGGAGAGGCAGCCCCCAACTGCAGCTTCCCCCAGTCCCATCTAAGGAGGGAAACCAAACGAGAGCAGAAGCTAGGAAGCAGGGGATGGGGTTCACAGTTTGGGGTGCAGGCTCGACAAAGAGACTATGGAGGGCCTCCGCCCACTTCACCACCACGCACGCACGCACAATGTCTCCGCTGGACTTTCACTGGCCACACCATTCGCACTTTGACCGTAAAAAGGCCAGACCTAGCCGGGCGGTGGTGGCTCATGCCTTTAATCCCAGCACACTGGTCAACAAGAGCTAGTTCCAGGACAGGCTCCAAAGCTACAGAGAAACCCTGTCTTGAAAAAAAAAAAAAAAAAAAGGCCAGACCACTCTTTGAAGAGACCCGTGTGTTGGACATGGCAGAGATTAGCAGCCATTAGACAGGAAATCAATCCTTCTCTTTCTCCTTCATCTTAATTTTTGTTTGTTTTCTTGAGACAGATCTGACATTGCTCAGGATGGCCTCAAGCTCTCCACGTAGGTAAAAGTGGCCTTGAATTCCTGACCCTCCCGCCTATACCTACTAAAGCAGAGGCTCTCAACCTGGGGGTTATGGCCTCTTTGAGGTTGAACAACCCTTTCACAGGGGTCCTCTAAGACAATTGGAAAACACAGATATTTATATTACAGTTCATAACAGTAGCAAAATTACAGTTATGATGTAGGGATGAAATAATTGCATGGTTGGGGTTGGCAGCATTAGGAAGATTGAGAACCATTGTACCAAAGGACAGAATCACAGGCGTGTGCTACTGTGCTAGTCTCTTTCCCATCTCTTCCTCCCCTCCCCTCCCCTCCTCTCCCCTCCCCTCTCATCCCCTCCCCTCTCCCATCTCCTCTCCCCTTCCCTCCTTTCTTCTCCTCTTCCCCTCCCCTCTCCTCTCATCCCTCTCTTTTCCCCTCCTCTCCTTCCCTCTCCCATCTCCTCTCCCCTTCCCTCCTTTTCTCCTCCCCTCCCTTCTCCCATCCTCTCCTTTCTCCTCACCTCTATTCTCCTCCCTTTCCTCTTCTCTCACTGCTAGGTCTTATTATGTTGTCTCGGAACTCACAGGTGTGCTACCTGGCCCACCTCAGACCACAGAGTTAAAACCACTAGGATCACTGTTAGGGTTTTGCAGCAATCAGAGACCCTGTCTCAAAACAAACAAACAAAGACTAACGGGAAAGGATGCATGTCTGGGACTTGTCCATGACCCCTTAGCTCTTCCATCTCCATGGCTCTAAAGCCAACACACGTGGACATTACTAAGTTCAGCCGCCAGCTGGGGTTGGAGCCACATCCTCTTGACCCACATTAGTGGCAGCTTTTTGACTCAGTTGATTGACTTCTAGGAGCAGAAGATGCCTTGTGCTCGCTTTCATAAATCAGAAGCTTAGCTAAATGGGGTCTTGCCCTGGTGAAGCCTTCCCTTTGTTCCAGTGCAGAGCAGGCCTCTCCTTAGAGCTGCCAATCTCCTTAATAACTGCAGCCTCTTTGCCAGGAGCCCTGGCTGCAGCCTTCCGTTTCCTGCTGTGCCTTTCCTCTCCAGACTGTGCAGTTTGCTTTTCTTCTGCTCCGCTTGCTCTTTTTCAGTGGAGACTGGCGTAAGGGAAATCAGTAACAGCCATGCCACAGTTTCAACATTATTATGCTGTCCTGAAGTTCCTTCTTTGCCAAAGAAATTAGTCCATTTTTTTAAAAAAATTTAACCTCAGGCAAGTTGTTAGGACGAGGGCAGAAGACATGTAGGTTCTTTGTGAAAATATCACAGGTATGACCTCTTTCCCAGTGACCATTATTGTGCCCCTCAGACACCTCTTGCGCTGGGCCTCCAAAGTCCACATCGCTCTCAGCACTGCTCTCTCCCAAGGTCTTACCAGAATGGCCCTTTAAGCTGTGTTTACAGTGCTTAGTTGCTTTTAAAGTCCAAAATTCCAAAGCCGTATACATTCCTCCAAACAATAAAAACCAAAACCAAACAAACATGGCCAGGTTCTCCACAGCAGTAGCCCGCTGTCTGGTGCCTGCTTCCTCTGAATTTACTACTTGGATGTTTCTGTAATAAAACACCATGACCAAGACAACTCACGAAAGGAAGCCTCTACTTATAAGAGGGTTTATGGTTCCAGAGGGCTGAGTCCATCCCAGTACGGAGGCACAGAAGTAGAGGCAAGAATGACAGCCGGAACAGGAAGCCTAGCAGTCACACCCTTTACCAGCAGAGTGAGGGCAGAAAGGAGGGGCAGGCTAGAAACCCTCCAAGCCGCCCCCACTGACTTACTTCCTCTGCAACTCCTGAACCCAGAGCACCACTAACTGGGAGCCAAATGTTCTAATGTCTGAGTATTAGTCAACTGGGAACCACCCACATTCCAGAAACAGGTGCCCCCCCACCTTCAATCGCCTTCATCACTTAAGGCCAATGTGACTATCACCACTGTCCCCCCTTTCCCCAAGTGCATGCTCCACACCCTATAAACCTGCATCATCTCAGCCCACTCGCTCGCTCTCTCCCCCACCTTCCCCCTCTTTCTCCTCCACTCTCTCCCACTTTCATTGTTTTAGTCAGTTACTTCCTGAGGCTGGAACCAAAATACCTGACAGGAAATATAGAGTCCTACCTACTCGGTGAATTCTTCCTGGCAATACCTCCCACAAAGAACCCGAAGATGGCCTCACTACCTCCTAGGGGATTCTAAAATCAACACTAGCAAGCCTTGAACTTACTATGCTGCAGAGGATGGCCTTGAGGACTGATTCTCCTGCCTCTACTCCCAAATGATGGAACTACAGGAATCATGTCTAGTGGCTCCTTTTCTTCACATATGTGCGCTCTAATACATATGTCATTTTCTCTCTGCATATATATGTGTGTATCACTTTCTCTCTGCATATATAAGTGTGTGTGTATACACTTGTCATATATATGACTTGGTTTTGCTTTTTTAAAGTTTTTAATGTATTTTCTGTGTGTGCTATGTGTGTGCATGTGGAGTCAGAGAGTGACAGCCAGGTGTCTTCCTTAATCATTTGCCACCTCACTTGACACAAGGTCTCTCACTGAGCCTGGAGCTCAGCAGTTCATGGGCTGGTTGATCTGCCTGTCTCCTCCCTCTTCCTCTCAGGGCTGAGCTTACAAACACGTGGTGCCATGCCCAGGTTTTTTACATGTGTGCTAGGGACCCAAACTAGGTTGTTTTTATGTTTTGTTTAAAGGAGGAATCCCCTTTATTTCTTGTCAAAATAATCTAATAGCAATGTAGATTATACATCTTTTTAGACAGATAAGTCATATTTCTGGATGTTTCTTTCACCACAACTCTGGGATACTCAGATCTTGCCCTTTGAGAGAGGAGGTAAATTTTCCCGATCGTCTTCTTCCAACACTAGGGCCCCCACACTGGCTCAGGCTCTGTGTTGGCATGGCAGGCACTGTATCAACTGACCCATTTCTCCAGCCTCTGTGTTTGCCTTTGACACATGATCTCACTCTGAAGCCAAAGCAGGCCTCAGGGTTTTGATCCTCCTACCTCGGCTCGCTGAGTGCTGGGATAATCCCATGCTATGACACGTGTTTTTATGCTCCATACATTATTTAATTTATTGTTGTTTTGCCCTGCTGTGGATGGAACCCAAGGCCCGGGGCACACGAGCAAGCACTCTACCACTGAGACTCATCTCCAGCCTTGTATTAGAGAATCTATTTTCTTTCCCAGTCCTGAGGGCTGAATCCGGGGCGTCCAAGCACTCTATCCCGAGCTCCGCTGTTTATGTTCTTCAGCCAAGGTCTTGCTATGGAGCCCAGACTGGTGTTGAACTCCTGTAAATTCTCCTGTTTCAACTTCCCAAATGCTGGGATTATAGGAGTAATACCCAGCCTTATGATGTTAAATGTCTTATTTTATAATGACTGCCATCTGATAAATAAACATTTATGAATAACACTACTGCAGGACTTGGATTTAACAAAACAAATATAACCCCTCATGAACTACTCTAGGGAAAGAAGTTCAATTTTCTGAAGTTTTGGTTTAGAATATTAAATAACTATCCTGAAAGGAGTAAGCAACTCCAAAACTGTCTCTCTTTCCCTGGGGAACTTCCTGGGGCTTAAATGAGAGTGTGGTGAAACTATGGAGCCCTGAGAACGCCTCATCCCGCTCTGCCCCAGTCGCCAGTGCCAGGACTACACACACGCCACCACACTAACCTCTGAGCGGGACTACACACACGCCACCACACTAACCTCTGTGCAGAGACTACACACACGCCACCACACTAACCTCTGTGCAGAGACTACACACACGCCACCACACTAACCTCTGTGCAGAGACTACACACACGCCACCACACTAACCTCTGTGCAGAGACTACACACACGCCAACACACTAACTTCTGCACGGGACTACAAACATGCCACTACACACTAAGCTCTATGTATTTTCTGTCTGTCTGACTGTCTGTCTGACCTTGTAGCCCTGTTTGTCCTGGAACTTGCTACATAGATCAGGCTAGCCTTGAACTCAGAGAAGGTGTGTGCCATCACTGCTGGCTTCACTATGTTGTCCAGGGCTGTTCTCAAACTCACGAGCTCAGTTGAGTTGACCACTTCAGCCTCCCAGGAGCTGGAGAAGCAGGCAGATAGCATCAGCTGCATTTACGGTCATGTTATTGAATCATGGTGTGGAAAATGCATCCCCCACCATGCTTTGCCTGGTGCCAGCAGCGACAAATCTCAGGACGGAATTCTAAGCTGAACCCCTCCCCAGCCTTGCTATGCTTCCGGTATAACTGTTGGATTGAGATTAAATGCTGACTTCTTAGGTCTGTAGAGAAACACTGACCAATGGTGAGTTCAGTTGGAGTATTTTGTGAGTCTAAACTAAGCTTTCACCAAATACTTACTTTGGTATTCCTTGGTGCTCCAGAGAATGTCAAGTTAGAAAGACAGCAGAGGAGCCAAACCTTTACTCACTGTGACTGAAGGGAAGCAAGAGCTTTTCTGAAGGTCCATTGAATATCTAACTGCAGCAGCCGGGGAATATCCGGGTACCCTCCCAGCTGTGTCCAGAGTGTATTCAAAGATGTCTTCTCCATTATCGGGTAGCTTGAAGTGGACAGGTCAGCATTCCAGATGGACTCCACCTGAGTCTGCTGTCTAGAGAGTCAGAGCACATGAGGTAAGGGATGAAGCTCCTCTGATCGCCACTGCCAGTTGAAACTTGCGTCTTCTCTTCCCCACCCATCAACTGCCCTCCCATGCCCCAGGGAGCCTCAGTTGTACCACCAGACAGAGACAAGGGAAAAGCACCACTATGACCTAGTCATCTGTTTCAAGCTTCCTTCTTAGCCTCCTGAAGTACACAGACCAAGTATGCTTTTCCTTCCAAAGCTTTTGCCTTCTTAGGGAAGAGACAGAGGAGGCGGACTGAGAGATACAAAGAGAAAAGGAAGGAAGGAAGGAAGGAAGGAAGGAAGGAAGGAAAGGAAGGACAAAGAAACGCGTCAGTGCTTGAAAGCTTGTTAGATATTCTTTAAATAATTTGTTCCTTAGGAGAAATCAGCTTTTCAAACATATTTTTACATGTTATTTATTTTGTATGTGTGTGGGAACATGTGAGCCGTGGCACGCACGTGGAGGTCAGAGGACACCTGTGGAGGTCAGAGGACACCTGTGGAGGTCAGAGGACACCTGTGGAGGTCAGAGGACACCTGTGGAGGTCAGAGGACACCTGTGGAGGTCAGAGGACACCTGTGGCATACACCTAAGGCTAAGCCATCCTCTGGCCCAGCAGCCTTCAAAACAAAACAAACAAAACAAACCAAAAAAAACCCCCTTTATTATAATAAGAGAAAAAGAGGGGCAGAGGGAGGGAGAGGTGGTCAGAGGACAACTCTGTGGCTTTGGTTGTCCACTGTGTGGGTCCTAGAGTTTAGACCCAAAGGTGTGACCAGTGAGCACACCCAAAGGTGTGACCAGTGAGCGCACCCAAAGGTGTGACCAGTGAGCGCACCCAAAGGTGTGACCAGTGAGAGCACCCAAAGGTGTGACCAGTGAGCGCACCCAAAGGTGTGACCAGTGAGAGCACCCAAAGGTGTGACCAATGAGAGCACCCAAAGGTGTGACCAGTGAGAGCACCCAAAGGTGTGACCAGTGAGAGCACCCAAAGGTGTGACCAATGAGAGCACCCAAATCGCCTAAGCCATCTTGCTTATTTTTTAAAAAAAGAACTCAAAATTAAATGCCAAATATTTAAGTAGAGCCGGGCGATGGTGGCGCACGCCTTTAATCCCAGCACTCGGGAGGCAGAGGTAGGCGGATCTCTGTGAGTTCGAGACCAGCCTGGTCTACAGAGCTAGTTCCAGGACAGGCTCCAAAGCCACAGAGAAACCCTGTCTCGAAAAACAAACAAACAAACAAATATTTAAGTAGAAATATATGTAAATAAACCCTGCTAAAGCAGGCATGACGGCATATAGTTTTATTCCAGCACTCACAAGGCAGAGGCATTCCAGGTCAGCCAGGGCTACACAAATGAAACAATGTTTCTTCTCAAAACAGACGAAACAATACACCTTGCTGAATTCACTAAGGAAATAAGTACATTCACACTCTTGCACCACATCCTAAGTATGGGAAAGGAGAGCCCTTGGGTAGAACTAAAATAGTTTTAATTAAAAAAAAAAAATTAGCCTGGTCTACAAGAGCTAGTTCCAGGACAGGAACCAAAAGCTACGGAGAAACCCTGTCTCGAAAAAAAAAAAAAAAATTAGACATTGTGTACCACTTATCACCGAAAGTTTAATATTACATACCATGCCATGAAAGTTTAATACTACATACCCAAAGGTCTTGAAAATGTCGGGCTTTTTGTTGTCTTCAGTGAATAACTCCAAGACTGGACGTTGAGTTTTGGTAAAATCGGGTATCTGCTTAAAGCCAGAGACCAAGGGCACAGGCTGGCTAAGATTTAGTTTAAACACCTTTTCGATCTAGAAGCAAAATCAACAAGAACAAGTTAATAGATACAGAAAAGAAAGCGCATTTCTCAGGTCTCAGCCTCTGGGGGAAGGGAAAGCCAGAGATGTTAGGAAGTTTGGCTTTCAATCCAGACAGCAGCCGAGCAGCAGACCTACGCGTCCACAGCCATGATTCCCTTTGGAGGACGGGGGAGCTGAGACCATGGTCTGAAACTCTATATATGTAGCCCAGCCTGGCCTTGCTTGCATTTGCTGTCTGTATGCTTCTGTACCCTGACCAGAGAGAGCCCTCTCCCTTTACCGTTTCCTTCCTTAGGCCTTGACACCCACAATCACCACCTGACTCTAGCCTAGAGGTTCTCAGCCTTTCGTACAGCTTCTCATGTTGTGGGAACCCCAACCATAAAATTATTTTCGTTTCTATTTCTTTTTTTTAAAAAATATTTATTTATTATGTATACAATATTCTGTCTGTGTGTATGACTGCAGGCCAGAAGGGGGTGCCAGACGCCATTACAGATGAGCCACTATGTGGCTGCTGGGAATTGAACTCAGGACCTCTGGAAGAGCAGGCAATGCTCTCAACTTCTGAGCCATCTCTCCAGCCCATCATTTCTATTTCATAACTCTAATTTTGCTACTGTTGTGAATCATAATGAACATATCTGTATTTGCCGATAGTCTAAGGTGACCCATGTAGCATTCAGTTAGAGGGGTCGCACCCACAGGCTGAGAATCGCTGCTTCAGAGCCTGCCCCTCCCCTGAAATGTCCTGTCAGGTCGCTGTTGCTACTGACACCCCACCTTCCTTACTCCACCTACAAAGACCATATTTACCCAACCAAAATTAGAGGTGTTTTTGCTGTTTGTTTAACAGAGCTATAATATTTAAAATATAATTGTTATGGAAAATTCAAAATATCTTACTTTACTCCAGCAATGATCAGAAGTCTGTCCTACGCGAAGAAGCAAGTGAGTAAAGCTCGCAATTAATCAATTATTTTGTCTTTTTTTTTTTTGAGACAAGGTATTACTATGAAACCTTGGATAACCTGGAACTCATTATGTAGCCCAGGCTGACCTCTATTAATAATGTTAATGAGTCAGGCAGTTGTGGCACACATCTGTAATCCCAGCACTCGGGGGCAGAGGCAAGTGGATCTCTATGAGTTCGAGGCCAGCCTGATCTACATAGTGGGCAGCCATAGTTGCACAGGAGAGAGATCGTGTCTCAAACAAACTAAAACAACCCTTACTTCTTCGTCTCGCACTGGAAAGGAGCAGCAGAAGGTAAAGTTACCTGGCTGAATACCTGCATCATGGACCACAGGCACTGCCTCCGCCTCTGTTCTAGTTCCTTCTGCTTGTCTGTCCAGAACCGCATCACCCTCTTCTGGTATTGATCAATTCTGTCCAGCATGATGTACAGGTTCTGAGCCTCATACCCTTTCCCAGTATTTTGGATGGCTTTTAATCGTTTGGTTATGTTGTTTCTTGAAAAAAGTCAAGAATTAGATCCATATAGTTCCCAAAGCTACCAGAGCAAACCTGACTTCTGTTGCGTTCCATTCCTATCTCATTTTGAGTTCTTAAGAGGTATGAGAGCAGGTGGGAGACTTGTTAAACGAGGCCTTTATCTAATTCCTATATAGGAATAAATTTCTGAGTGGTTGGTGGTGGCGCACGCCTTTAATCCGGGTGCTCAAGAGGCAGAGGCAGGCGGACCTCTATGAGTTCAAGGCCAGCCTGCTGCGTGGAGTAAGCTCCAGGACAACCAGGGCTATGCAGAGAAACCCTGTCTGGAAAACAAACAAACAAATTCTGTAGTGCTCAGTAGGGGTAGAACCCAGCACCTCACACATGCTGCGCACATGCTGCACACATGCACACCTGCTGCAACCTGCTGCACACATGCACGCCTGCTGCAACAGGCTGCACGCCTGCTGCATGCCTGCTGCACACATGCTTCACACATGCTTCACACATGCTGCACATGCTGCACATATGCACACATGCTTCACACATGCACCACACATGCTGCACACATGAACACATGCTGAACACATGCTGCACACATGTTGCACACCTGCACACATGCTGAACACATGCTGAACATATGCACACATGCCGCATAGTGCACACATGCTTCACAGATGCACACATGCTGAACACATGCTGCACACATGAACACATGCGGCACACATGCTACACACATGTTGCACACATGTTGCACACCTGCACACATGCTGCACATATGCACACATGCCGCACAGTGCACACATGCCTCACACATGCTGCACATATGCACAATGCTGCACACATGCACACATGCTGCACACATGAACACATGCTGCACACATGTTGCACACATGTTGCACACCTGCACACATGCTGCACACATGCTGCACACATGCTGCACATATGCACACATGCCACACAGTGCACATATGCTTCACACATGCTGCATATATGCACACATGCTGCACACATGCACACATGCTGCACACATGCTGCACATATGTTGCACACATGCTGCACACATGCTGCACACATGCTGCACACATGCTGCATATATGCACACATGCCGCACAGTGCACACATGCTTCACACATGCTGAACATATGCACAATGCTGCACACATGCACACATGCTGCACACATGCTGCACATATGCACAATGCTGCACACATGCACAATGCTGCACACATGCACACATGCTGCACACATGCACACATGCTGCACACATGTTGCACACCTGCACACATGCTGCACATATGCACACATGCCGCACAGTGCACACATGCTTCACACATGCTGCATATATGCACACATGCTTCACACATGCTGCACATATGTACAATGCTGCACACATGAACACATGCTGCACACATGCTACACACATGAACACATGCTGCACACATGTTGCACACCTGCACACATGCTGCACATATGCACACATGCCGCACAGTGCACACATGCTTCACACATGCTGCATATATGCACACATGCTTCACACATGCTGCACATATGTACAATGCTGCACACATGAACACATGCTGCACACATGTTGCACACATGCCCACATGCTGCACACATGCTGCACACGTGTTCTACCACAGAGCTATGCCTCAGACCACTATCATCACTGTTTTTAAACAGTTCTGGGGGTACTAACCAATTCATATGCAAGACACAAAAACTGAATGTTTAAAGATTAGACAGTCTTTGGGGCTGCAGAGATGGCTCAGGTATGCACATGGGACAAGGACATAAATGTAAGCAAAACATCCATACTCACAGAATAAAATAAAAGTTGAAGGAAAAGAAGAGCTGGGTTGTTAGAGCAATGGCAGACAACACTAACTTAGTGTTTCCAAAACTCTGGGTCCCTTCCCTGTCATCTTAACAAAACCGAACCAAACAGAAACAATTTTAAAACCTGGGTGGCATTAGTCTAGAAATGTTAGGTTTAAATTTTTTCTGTTCAGACCAGGGTGACATTAAATATTTGAGGGTTTATCTATCTGGTATTGATTATAGAAACTACTAAAAGTATTTTTTAAATATTGGGAGGTGAGAGGGCTAGCTGGGCATGGTAGCTGTTATCCAGCACTCAGGACACCAAGGTAGGAGGACTGTCATGAATTTGAGGCCAGCATAGACTACAAGTGAGTATATGTCGTTCTGGACTATGGGAGATGCTGCCTCAACAAAAATAAACAAAGAAAAACCCTCAAAGAATTTATAGTTAAATTTAAATTCCCTCAGGGGGGAGGAAAGGTGTGTTATTCTACAAGTGGTGACCAAGTAACTAGGAAGGAAAAAAAGAGACCCAGATCTCATAGTAGAGAAGTGTGAGCCAAGCATGCAAGGAGAACAAACTGAGGGAGACTTTGTTTGGTTGTGAGGCAAGTTCTCCTGGCTTGCCTGGAACTCACTATGCAGACCAGGTTCTCCTTCTCTAAGTCTCTGTCTCTCTTTCTCTTTCTCTCTTCCCTCCCCATCCCCTTTATCTCAATAAAACTCTTCACTTCAGCTTTGCCTTCTGGCAAGTGAGGGCATCTGGCTCTCTCACCCGCTGCCAAGGTCCCTCTGACCCAAAATCTTTACAGTAACTGCAGGTGTAGACTACCATACCCGGCCTTTTTTGATATTAAAAAAAAAAAAACCAGAAAAAAAAAACAGAACCAACAATAAAGTTGCTATGGTAACACAAGGTGTTAATTTCCCACTTCAGATGTGATACAGAGCCACGTCTGATGGTGCATGGCTGTACTGCTTCTCATCCGGGCTACACAGTGAATTTCAGGTCAGTGTGGGCTTCAGGGGGAGCCTTATCTCAAAACCAAAGCAGAATAAATAGGTAGATCAGGCTGCTGCACATGCCTGTAACCCCGTCGTATTGGTGGAGTATTGGCAGGGAAACAGGTTGTCCTGGCCAGCCTCATGGGAAGGTTCCAGGAGAGATGCAGAACAGGTGTAGGGGGACAGAGAACAACATCTGGAATCCTCCAGTCTCCTCTAGCTTCCCAGTGCAATACACACACACACACACACACACACACACACACACACACCCTCTAAGCCCTGAATGCTACTCCTCCTGCCTCCAGCTCCCAAACAGTAAAATTGCAAGGATGTACCACCACTGCTGACTTCCTTTTATTGTCTTAAACCTCCATCCTGAAGACCCTTAATGATCACAGCATATGATTGGGCCTAGAGGGAGGGCTCAGTGGTTAAGAGCAGTTGCTGCTCTTCCAGAGGACCTGAGTTTGGTCCCTAGCACACATCATAGCTCACAACCGACTATAACTCTGTCTTCAAGATATCCAACATCCTCTTTGAGCACAGGCCTATGCATGCTGCAAACAAAATGCTCATACATGTAAAATAAAAACCAAAAACTAGAAGCTGGGCAGTGGTGGCATGTGCCTTTAATTCCAGCACTTGGAGGCAAAGACAGGTGGATCTCTGTGAGTTTGAGGTCAGCCTGGTCTACAAGAGCTAGTTCCAGGACAGGCCCCAAAGCTACAGAGAAACCCTGTTTTGAAAAAAAAAATAGAACACATGGCATGACAAACATGAAAATTCTAGGCAGTGAAGAAAGTTGCTCAACATCAGGATTATACCAGAAAAAATGGTTATGTATACTAATTGTACCTACCTGGCCAGCTGGATCAGCCTATAGGCAACATACTTGCGGCACAGATACCCCAGCCTAACTGTATTCATATGAAGCAGTTCTATTATGAGATTCCTGGCAATTGTGTGGTACTGGGGAGGGAATTCAGAAGTTTGTGCAGCCTCATTTAATATAACCAGGTTCTTCCTTTGAGCCTCCACATCAACGAAGTATCTGTCTTCAGGGAGCTGGGCAGGGAGAGGGAACCCCAAGGTCTTGGCTTTCCTGGTGTCAGAAGCTGGGGTTGGTATCCAGGGCTTGTCTATAGCGGGGAGCCGTGGTCTCTGGCCCCTTGCAGAAGGTAAGGCCTGTGATGTTTGGGAGAGCTGAGTGCTGAGAGACGTTGGTGACACGGTAGGCTTCTCTAGACCAACGTGCGGGCGCTTCGATCCTGGTATCCCAGAACTGGTGACATAAGGCTGGAACATTCCAAGTGGTTTCATGTCGAAAGAATCTTGGAGTACCCCAGTTTCTTCCGAAGTGCCAGGAACCTTTGCTATTCGGATCTTCTCTGTAGGGAAAGGTTTTGGAGGGGTAACAGCTCCTGACCATTTCTGAGGGACTGAAGAGGGAGAAATTCTCTGAGGCCTTCCAGGGATTGAGAGCTCAGCAGTGATCATTTGCTGTCCTTGCATGTAGGGAATTTGTTCACCGATGGCTGGAGGCTGGTAGGGGGAGAATCTGGATAGTAGGAGGTCCTTGTAGACAGCAGAGCCTCCAGGAAACTCTCCAGAGGTGGGGAGGACTCCAGCTGTGGGAGGTGGTGTCAACCTTCTGGAGGGGAAGGGGATGTCTGGTATTAGAGGTGGCTGAGTGTCTCCAGTTTTGAAGAAATGCCAAGGAACAAAGGGCAGCTCTGGAGTGGAAGGAGTCTCAGGTTTTGGGAGCTGCCTTTGGGTAGGAGGGACTTCTGGTGTTAGGAGCTGTGTGGGGGTGACTTGCCCTCTGTCTGTCAGAATCTGTCTGTAGGTAGGAGAAATGTGTGGTTCTTCAAGCATCTCAGAGTCAGGAAGAATGTTCAGTCCTAGGCCTGTCCTGGGAGGAAGTGGGGTTTGCCTTAATTTCTGCAATGGAATAGATAGAGAAAAATCCTGCAATTGTTGAAGTAGTCTGTCGGGAGAAGGAACCAATGCAGCAGGCTTTTCTGAGGTAAGAGGAATACGAAACGCTGGCTGATACCCAGCAATTCCGGATGCTTGTAATTGCTCCGGAGTCATGATATTTGCTGCCCCTGGAGCCTTTTCTGGCATGATGAACCCCCCCCATTTCCAGGCCAGTTCTTCAGTGAGCGCATCTTCTAATGCTGCCAGCTGCTCAGAGGTAAGGGTGACAGCCGCTGCCTGAGTTTGCTCCTGCGTAAAAATGACACCCAAATCCTGGGCTCTGTCAAGCGTGATGGTGAACATTAGTGTTTGTGTCTCTCCTGGACCAAGTTGGCCCAGCAACGGGGACTGCCAGGGTGTACAGGGAGGTTGCAACGCCTGTACTTGCTCAAATGCTTGGGGTTGCCCTGGTATGAGGGTGATTCCCAATGCCTTGCCCCGCCTCTGTGGAAGTGGAACTCCAAATTGCTGGGACCATGGAGTGTTTAGTGGGATTCTAACTGTCTGGGTCTGTTTAGAAGCCACAGCTGGTTTTGGTCTCTGGGTAGACTCCGGGATAATAGGAATTTTTAGGGGTTGAATCTGCTCTGTAGTAGGACGGCCCCTCAATGTTGCTGCCTGTTGAGGGGTTAACGGAGCATCCAAACCCCGGAATTTCTTTGGAGGAAGAGTGCCCCGTTTCTGTAACCTTGAAGAAGTGAAACTGATGCCCAGGGCTTCAGCCTGCTCAGGAGAAAGAGTGATCCCCAGGGCTTCAGCCTGCTCAGGGGTCAGACTGATTCTCTGGGCCCTGGCCTGCACAGGGGAGAGAGTGAGCCCCAGGGCCCGGGCCTGCTCAGGGGTGAGACTGCTTCTCCGTTCTCTGGCCTGCTCAGGGGTGAAAGTGATTCCCAGGGCCTGGGCCTGCTCAGGGGTCAGACATATCTTCTGTACCTTGGCTTGCCTAGGGGTTAGAGTGATTCCCAGGTCCCGGGCCTGATGTGGACTGAGAGAGATCCCCAAGGTGTGAGTCTTCTCAGGGGTGGGAAAAATCTCCACAGCCCGGACCTGCTCAGGGGTCAGAGTAACTACCAAGGCTTCAGCCTGTTGGAGGGTAGGAGCAATCCTCAGAGCCTGGGCCTGCTCAGGCAAGAGAGTGATTCCTAGGGCCTGGGCCTGCTCAGGAGTTAGACTGATCCTCTGGGCCCCGGCCTGCTCAACAGTGAGAGTAATCCCTAGAGCCTGGGCCTGCTTAGGTGTCAGACTGATCGTCAATGCGTTGGCTTGCTCAGGTGTAAGAGTGATGCCCAGAGCTTGGGTCTGCTGAGGGGTAAGACAGATCTTGTTTATCTGGGCCTGCTGAGGGGTAAGTGTGAGCCCCAGAGCCTGGGCATCCTTGGGACTGAGGCTTATCTCCTGTGGTGGGCCTTTTTTGGGAGTGGGAGTAATTCCCAGAGCCTGGGTCTGCTCAGGGGTCAGGCTGACCCTTTGTTCCTTAAAAGTATCTCCCAAGACTTCAGTTATCTCCAGGGCCTGGGCCTGCTCAGGGGAGAGAGTGATTCCTAGGGCCTGGGCCTGCTCAGGAGTTAGACTGATCCTCTGGGCCCTGGCCTGCTCAACAGTGAGAGTAATCCCTAGAGCCTGGGCCTGCTTAGGTGTCAGACTGATCGTCAATGCGTTGGCTTGCTCAGGTGTAAGAGTGATGCCCAGAGCTTGGGCCTGCTGAGGGGTAAGACAGATCTTGTTTATCTGGGCCTGCTGAGGGGTAAGTGTGAGCCCCAGGAACTGGACATCCTCGGGACTGAGGCTTATCTCCTGTGGTGGGCCTTTTTTGGGAGTGGGAGTAATTCCCAGAGCCTGGGCCTGCTCAGGGGTCAGGCTGACCCTTTGCTCCTTAAAAGTATCTCCCAAGGCTTCAGTTATCCCTAGGGCCTGGGCCTGCTCAGGGGAGAGAGTGATTCCTAGGGCCTGGGCCTGCTCAGGAGTTAGACTGATCCTCTGGGCCCCGGCCTGCTCAACAGTGAGAGTAATCCCTAGAGCCTGGGCCTGCTTAGGTGTCAGACTGATCGTCAATGCGTTGGCTTGCTCAGATGTAAGAGTGATGCCCAGAGCTTGGGCCTGCTGAGGGGTAAGACAGATCTTGTTTATCTGGGCCTGCTGAGGGGTAAGTGTGAGCCCCAGGAACTGGACATCCTTGGGACTGAGGCTTATCTCCTGTGGTGGGCCTTTTTTGGGAGTGGGAGTAATTCCCAGAGCCTGGGCCTGCTCAGGGGTCAGGCTGACCCTTTGTTCCTTAAAAGTATCTCCCAAGGCTTCAGTTATCCCTAGGGCCTGGGACTGCTCAGGGGAGAGAGTGATTCCTAGGGCCTGGGCCTGCTCAGGAGTTAGACTGATCCTCTGGGCCCCGGCCTGCTCAACAGTGAGAGTAATCCCTAGAGCCTGGGCCTGCTTAGGTGTCAGACTGATCGTCAATGCGTTGGCTTGCTCAGGTGTAAGAGTGATGCCCAGAGCTTGGGCCTGCTGAGGGGTAAGACAGATCTTGTTTATCTGGGCCTGCTGAGGGGTAAGTGTGAGCCCCAGAGCCTGGGCATCCTTGGGACTGAGGCTTATCTCCTGTGGTGGGCCTTTTTTGGGAGTGGGAGTAATTCTTAGAGCCTGGGCCTGCTCAGGGGTCAGGCTGACCCTTTGCTCCTTGCCTGGCTCAGGGGTAAAAGTGACTCCCAAGGCTTCAGCTATCCCCAGGGCCTGGGCCTGCTCAGGGGAGAGAGTGATTCCTAGGGCCTGGGCCTGCTCAGGAGTTAGACTGATCCTCTGGGCCCTGGCCTGCTCAATAGTGAGAGTAATTCCCAGGGCCTGGACCTGCTGAGGGGTCAGACTGATCGTCAATGTGTTAGCTTGCTCAGGTGTAAGAGTGATGCCCAGAGCTTGGGCCTGCTGAGGGGTAAGACAGATCTTGTTTATCTGGGCCTGTTGAGGGGTAAGTGTGAGCCCCAGGGCCTGGGCATCCTTGGGACTGAGGCTAATCTCCTGTGGTGGGCCTTGTTTGGGAGTGGGAGTAATTCCCAGAGCCTGGGCCTGCTCAGGGGTGAGAGTTATCCCCAGAGCCTGGGCCTGCTCAGTGGTCAAACTGACCCTCTGAGTCTTAACCTGCTCAGGGGTGAGAGTTAGCCCCAGGGCCTGGGCCTGCTCAGGGGTCAAAATAATTCCCTGCGTTTGGGCCTGCTCAAGGGTGAGAGTCATCCCTAGAGCCAGGCCTTGCTGAGGGGTCAGACTGATCCCCTGGACCTTGACCTGCTGAGGGGTGAGCGCAATCCCCATGGCTTGGGCCTCCTCTGGGGTGATGGTGATCTGTTGTGCTTGCGTCAGCTGAGAGACTAAAAGGTGTCCCTGTGCTTGGGTCAGCTGTGGGGTGAGGGCTAGCCCCAGGGCCTGGGCCTGTTCAGGGGTGAGATTAATCCTTTGTGCTTGGACCTGCTGGGGGGTGAGAGAGACCCCCAGGACCTGGGCCTGTTGAGGGGTCAGACTGACCCTCTGTGCCTTTGTCTGCTCAGGAGTGAGAGTGAGCCCCAGGCCCTGGGCCTGCCAAGGGGTGAGGGTGATCCCTAGGGTCTGGGCCTGTTGAGGGGTCAGGCTGATTTTCTGGGCCTTGGTCTGCTCAGGAGTGAGGGTGATCCCTAAGGTCTGGGCCTGTTGAGGGGTCAAGTGAATCCTCTGGGCCTTGGCTTGCTCAGGGGTAAGAGTGATGCCCAGGGCCTGGGCCTGATCAGGAGTGAGAGTGATCCCCTGATCCAGGACCTCCGGAGAGGTGAGGGTAATGTCTTTTGCTTGGATCTGCTGGAGGGGTAGAACTGTTCTTTGGGTAACTGTGACCCCAGATATCTGTACTTGTTCAGCAGTTGTTTGGGGGATTTGCATTTGCTCTGGAGTGGATGTCTGCTCCAGGATGCCAGGAACTGTCAGCTGAGACCCTAGTTCTTGTTCCTGTCCTGCTGTGGGAGGAGCGCTCTGTGCTTTTTCCGTGCGTTCATGACTAGGAGGACCACTCGGGGCCTGTGGCATTGAAACCAAAGCTATCTGGGCCAACTCAGGGATAGGCCTTGGGAGGGGCTGTGCAAAGTCAAGGAGGGCCCTGGAAGAGGAGGGCTGCTTCTCCTTGGGGTGCTCCACCACGTCAGGATCCTCTTGGAACAACTGCACTTGACTCGTCAGGGGTTTCAGGACTTTCATCCACCTGGGTGTTAGCACCGCTGCACTCTGGGTGAACATCTTTGACAACTCTTTAGCCCGGGATTCAGTCTTTGCTAGCTGTTTCCACTTGCTCCCTTTCGGCCGCTGGCTGTCTTCTGCATCTCTCACGGCCTTCAGCTTCTCCTTGTCGGTCTCCTGAGCCTGGCTCGCCTCTGACCCTTCTGTTGTTTGTCTCCACTCCTCCAGCTGCTCTGCTCTCTCCCTTCCTCTCTGCTTTTGCTCGCTCTCCCTTTGAAGTCTTTGCTCTTCTTTCCAGGCCTCCTCTTCCTGCTTTTGTTGCTCTTGCCTTTCCTCCATCCTTCTGCCCACTGTTGTGCCCTCCTGTTCTCCCTCTAGCTCATCCAAGAGTGTTTGAATGAGTTTCCTAATCACGGGGTCTGTCATCTCACTTAAGAGAACGTTTCTGATTTCAGCCTTGGAACTCATGGATGTCTGCTTAGGAAGCGGCTGTGGTGTAGTGACTAACTTTTGTTTGAGGACTATCTCTCTAAATTGTTTCTTTCTTGCATCTTTGTATGTCCTCAAGGTTTTAGTCACAGTTTCAGTCACTTTTTGGATGTATTCCTCCATTTTTAACTTTATGGTGTTTAATTTTTCAACTTCTGCTCTTCCTAACGCGTCCTCCTCTTCCTGTATACTCTTTGGATCAAAAGCCTTTCCTACATTGTTCATTTTCTCTCTTAGGAAAGCCAATATGGCTCTTTGAAATGGTTCTAGATTACTCAAGCCTTCGGGGCTTATTGTCGTTTGTTTAGGGGTCCTGGGCTGTAATTTACCACGTACTTTTGTGGAGCTCGGCATGTCTTCAGTCTTCCCTGGCACGGGCTTTTTCCCTTTGGTTTCTGGTTTGTGCAGCTCGGGGGGTTCTGGCTGGATTATCTTGGGCAGTTCTTCTTCCGTCTTGGCTTCTTTTTCCTTTGGCCTAACAGTGCGTTCTATTTTATCCTCTGATGGCACTGGGCTTTTTCCAACTGTGTATTGTGATCTGACCTTCTTGAGCCGATCCCACATGCTACCTGCTCCACTCTGGACTCTCTGGCCCTTCAGTTTGCCTTCTAAAAAGGATTTCTCGTCTTTCTGCATCATGTCCAGTGCTTGTAGATCCAATTCATTCGTCTCACTATCCAAGAGTACCCTTTCCTCCTCTAGATTTCCAGCCAAGGACTCGGCTGACTGTGGGACTGGGAGGTACGGCTTTCTCTGGGTGTAATCAACCTGACCTTCAGCTGGAGCCACTTCGCCTTGGGCTACGAATGCCATAGTCGAGTCCCACTTTATTGCGGGGACTCTGACCCCTTTCTTCTGGGACTCATCTATAATATTTTCAAGCTTTTTGTCTAAAAGAATGTCAATCTCCTCTGGCTCCATATCTTTGCCTTTCGCAACTAACGTTCTCAAGGATGCAGATGGGAACAATAGTTGACGTCCTAGAAAATTTTTGATTCGAATAAGTTGCTCCCTCTTTTCCTTACTCTCTTTAAGTCTCTGATAAAGCATTTCATTTTCTTCACAGAGCTCTTGGAAGGCCTTCAGTGGGATTTCTTTTTCTTTTTCTTCTTCCTCTTCTCCCCCTTCTTCATCCCCAACCAGGTTGGTAATTTGGGATCTTAAGAGCTTCAGCTCCTCGTTGACTGTACTCAAGGCTTTGGAGAGATTCAGCACTGTTGCTGAGACGTATTTGATGGCGTTGTTTTCCAGTTTGCTGAACATACCTGTGCTGATGAGTTCCTGTAACATGTCTTGAATTTCTGAAACTTTAGTGTTTAATGCAAATTGGTCGTAGATCATCTGATTTGGTCTTAAAGCATGGGCCGTGGCTGGTCGCTTTACAACGCGTTCCTTCCAAGCTTTCCAGAGAGTGCCGCGAGTCACTGGGAGAGAAACAAAACAATGCAGCATCATTTCTTCTTTTCTGTTGTGCCTAAGGCGCTTAACCTCAGCTCCTGAGTACAGACAGGACAAACACTCATCAGAAAGGCTTAATGTGTTCGATTTTATAGTCACTTGCCAAAGGTGAGATAGCCAGATAGTGATGATACTTGAGGGAGAGAGACAAGCCTCCAGTGCACAAGAGTGTAAGTAACATGTAGATGCTCCTCCCTACAAGAGCGGCGTGTGTGTAGAAGCTCCACCCTACAAGAGTAGTGTGTGTGTGTGTGTGTGTGTGTGTGTGTGTGTGTGTGTGTAGATGCTCCACCCTACAAGAGCGGTGTGTGTGTAGAAGCTCCACCCTACAAGAGTAGTGTGTGTGTGTGTGTGTGTGTGTGTGTGTGTGTGTGTGTGTAGATGCTCCACCCTACAAGAGCAGCGTGTGTGTAGGGACTCCACCCTACAAGGGCAGCAACTGCACTGGCCTTGCCTATAGGCTGCATGTATAGACTTCCCTCCAAAGATTGCTTCCCCCAAAAGAAAACAGGAGTAATAACTTAAAAAAAAGTCTCCTGAATGGTCTAAAACTAGGAATGTAAACCTAGCTGGCCTTAAACTCACAGAGATCTGCCTGCATCTAACTCCAGAGTGCTGGATTAAAGGCATGCGCCACCAATGCCCTTGTGTGCCACCATGATGTAGGAGGGTCTTCTATCTATCTGTTGTTTCATTGGTTAATAAAGAAACTGCCTTGGCCTTTTGATAGGGCAGAATTTAGATAGGTGAAGACTGAACAGAATGCTGGGAGGAAGAAAGCAGAGTGAGGCAGTTGCCTCTGTTATGGTTTGCTGTCTCTTTAAGAGACAAGCCACACCCACTCCCTCCCCCATCCTCTGAGGCAGGCTGATCTTCAGCTTCGGGCCTGAGCTTGCTCTCTTTTTCATCTTCCTCTCGGAGAGGCAGCTTCGCTTCTGCCTCTCTCCCCACTTCTCTGCTTCCCCCTTCTCTGTCTCTTTCTCCCTCTCTCTCTATCTCTCTCTGTACCCCCTTCACCCTTCCTCCTCCATTACCTCCTGAATAAATATTCAACCTCACTCTGCATGTTGTGTCTATCCATGTCTCTGTCTCTTGCCCGCCCACCGTGTGTCTCCCTGCCTGGAACCAGCCACTGATCCGGGACCGGCAGCCATCTCTGCCTGGGACTGGTGCTCCCAGGGTCCGCTGTCTGCTGCCACATGGCCCGCTACCACCATTTGGGACCTACAGCATTTCTGCTGCCTACTGCTGCCGGGGATCTTGCAGCATTTTTAAAATATAAGGTTATGATGCTTTGGGAAAGTTCTTCTTTTGGTTTCACAGAGGATGAGACCCTGTGGATTGCTTCTATCCCAATATGGTATTATAGACCACACCCTCTCGAAAGGTTGCTGTGAACATCCTCAAAAAATTACTTCACGCTGGGCGGTGGTGGCGCACGCCTTTAATCCCAGCACTCGGGAGGCAGAGGCAGGCGGATCTCTGTGAGTTCGAGACCAGCCTGGTCTACAAGAGCTAGTTCCAGGACAGGCTCCAAAACCACAGAGAAACCCTGTCTTGAAAAACCAAAAAAAAAAAAAATTACTTCACACAGGATACACCATAAAAGACCTGCTTAACAGCGCCCCTATACAGCAGAAGTTTGGAGAGAAATAACTACGACCATATTCCCATATATTGTTTATAAATGTTCTTTTACATTAAAAGGGGGATATGATATAGATATAATTTACATTGGTATAAATTTTGCTTTATTAGTATAAAGTTAAGGTCAATTTTGTTATATGTATATGTGTTTCTGCTCTTGATTGAGGTATTGTGATTGTGTAGTTCATTTAAAAATGTAATGTATAATTAGGAAATATAGGTTGTTTCCTATATTTGGAATATGGATAATCATCAATAATCAAGCTTGTAGTAATGTTAGTTGGATTTTCTAGATATATAGAGATATATTTCAGTTAGGTAGGCATTCTTCATATCTTTCAAAGACTACAGAATATGGCATTTTAAATGTTTTAATAACTTAGGGCTTTTCAAGACAATGAGACACGTCTGCTCCTGGCAGCACCAATCTACTTCAAGAGGAGATGGGCATCGAAGAGGCTCCTTATGGAGTTGGTTAGCCATTTGGGCAAGAAACTGCTCTTGCCTGGACTGATGCATAAACTGGACACAAAGAACCCGCAGAAAGAGGACTGCTGAACTTGCCTACAGGTGAGATGGTCTTTCGGGGTTCCTGATTCATGAAAAAGTCTGTGAGACATTCTGCAGGACACAGAAAAAAGTGACTGAACTGTCTTTGAATTTTCCTGCTTCATGGAAACGTCTGCTGGATACTATGGGCCTGTAGGCCAAAGATGGATGCCCCAACGGCACAAAAGAACTTTGGTGACTGTCCAGACAGTGAGATGTCTCTGTCATTTCTAGAGTTTTGGAAGTTGCTTACTTCTTGTTTGCTTAGGTAATATTATATCCTTCTGGAGTCTTTGATGGAGTTGAAGAATAAATAGATAGTTATAGTTTTCCTTTGTTATGATAAAAGATAAAATAGATATAAATATTGTAACTGTAATTCTTGCTTGATAACTGTTTTGTTATATGTAATTTTACTATGTTAAAGTTAAAGCCTTTCTTTTTTGTTTAAACAGAAAAACGGAAAATGATGTAGGAGGGTCTTCTATCTGTTGTTTTATTGATTAATAAAGAAATTGCCTTGGCCTTTTGATAGGGCAGAATTTAGATGGGTGGAGAAGACCGATCAGAATGCTGGGAGGAAGAAAGCAGAGTCAGGCAGTCACCATGAAGCTCCGGCCCAAGATTGAAATAGGTTAGAATCTTCCCAATAAGCCACCACCTCATGGTGTTACACACATTAATAAAAATGGGTTAATCAAGATGTGAAAGTTAGCCAGTAAGAGGCTAGAGCTAATGGGCCAGGCAGTGTTTAAATGAATACAATTTGTGTGTTATTATTTCGGGTGTAAAGCTAGCCATGCGGGATCCAGGTGGGACGAAAAGCAGGCCTGCTCACCTCATCACTACACCACCATGCCCAGCTGTACTTTAGTTTTTGAAACAGAGTCTCTCCTGAATTCAAAGGTCATTAAAATCAGTGGCCTTGTCTGGCCGGCACGGTCCAAGGACCCACCAGCTCTACAGTCCAGGACTACAGATGGCCTTGGCTGCACTCTAAGTTTGTATGTGATTGTTGGGGACCCACACTCAGGACCTCATGCTTGTGTGGCAAGTACTCTTTTGTCTGAATGAAATGGAGCTTCACTGTGTGCTCTTTATCCCAACCCAGCCATCTCAGGGCAAACTCACTGAGTGGCATCTTGTAATGTTACCTGATTGTTTCTCAAGATTCCTAAGGACGTTCAACACAAGGAAAAGTCTGAGAAACTCTGACACCTGAAGGCAATGCGGTGCTATATCCAAAACAAGAAGGGACAGTAGGTAGGTGAGGACCAGGAGGTCTGACTATATTAAGCAATTTAGCTAACAATAATGTGCCAATGTTGGCTTCTTTCTCCTTTCCTTTCTCTTTTTGGTTCTTTGAGATGAGGTTGAACTTGCTGTGTAGTCAAGGCTGCTTCTGGATCCTCTTGACTTTACCTCTCAAATACAACCACACCTAGCTTCAACTTTGGCTTCTTAAATATAACTAGGGCACATACTAATGTGAGAGATATAATCAAAGGGTGTCATAGTTAGGGCTTCTATTGCTGTGATGGAGCACCATGACCAAAAGCTAGCTGGAGAGGAAAGGGTCTATTCTGCTTACACTTCCAGATCATAGTCCATAATTGGAGGAAGTCAGGACAGGAACTCACACAGGGCAGGAACCTGGAGGCAGGAGCTGATGCAGAGGCCATGGAGGGGAGCTGCTTACTGGCTTGCTCCTCATGGTTTGCTCAGCTTGCTTTCTTAAAGAACCCAGAACTGTCAGTCTAGGGATGACCCCACCCACATGGCCTGAGCCCTCCCCCAACAATTACCAATTAAGACAATATGTCTTTACATCTGGATCGTGTGTGTGTGTGTGTGTGTGTGTGTGTGTTTGTGTGTTTAAAACACCCTTTCTATGTAGTCTTGACTGTCTTGGAACTTACTCTGTAAATCAGGCTGGCCTCAAGCTGACAAAGCTCCGCCTGGTCTTATGCCTGGACCTCATGAAGGCATTTTCTCAACTGAGGCTCCTTCCCTCCTCTCAGATGACTCCTAGCTTGTGTTGAGCTGACATAAAACTAGTCAGTACAAATTATAGTGTGTGTGTGTTTGTGTGTGTGTGCGCACACACACATGCATGTATGAATACATGTATGTGAGCCCACTGAGAACAGAAAAGGGGATCAGATTCTCTGGAACTGGAGTTATACACAGTTGTGACCATGTGGGTGCTGGGAATTGAACTGGGTCCTCTGAAGATCAGGCAGTGCTGTCAACCACAGAACCATCTGTAAGATCAACCATTGAACCATCTGCCTTCCCCCACTGATGTAAGCTCAACCACAGAACTATCCGCTTTCCCACTGATGTAAGATAAGCCACGGAACCATCTGCATGCCCACTGATATAAGAGCAACCACAGAACCATCTGTATGTCCACTGATGTAAGATAAACCACGGAACCACCTGTGTGTCCACTGATGTAAGATAAACCACAGAACCATCTGCATGTCCACTGATGTAAGACCAACCACAGAACCAAACCATTTGCCTTCCCACTGATGTAAGATAAACCACGGAACCATCTGCATGTCCACTGATGTAAGATAAACCACGGAACCATCTGCATGTCCACTGATGTAAGATAAACCACAGAACCATCTGTGTGTCCACTGATGTAAGGTCAACCACGGAACCATCTGCCTGCCCTTTGATGTAAGGGAAACTATGGAGAAGTGTACAGAACTTGTTGTTTTTTCTCCCCCTTAAAACCTAAAACTGCTCTAAAAAAATA